GCCCAAGGGATTTCAGCACGTGCCTACACACTTTGTTGATTAGCAACAGAGAGCTGAATCTCAGGTCTGGGGATTTGTCTACATGCAGATTTACAGGTGCTTGATAGTAGTTGGGACTAATTCAGGTAACGTGGACACTGTTCCAAACAGAACCCGAGCGCACTGGCTCACGCAGCCCTTCGAGCATCCATTTGAGCAGCTGCAAATCTGAACGGGCCCAAGTCATCAGACACCTTCTCTGCACCCCGCTCCGATGTGGATTTTCCTCTTAGAAAAATGAATTCATGCTGCCCTAACATTAAAGATTTAAAGCAGCTGCATCTCATCACAGCCAGAAGATTTATTGGGAGCCGACGACAAAAATGATGGCTTATTGGGGAATAACCTTGAATGCTGGCACTGCATATTTTCAAGGCATATTAATCACAATTTATGTGTGAATACTTCTCCTTTCAGTGGAAATGGAGAGAGGGGTGAGTCTTGGGGATTTTTGAGATGGTTTGATTAAAAATGCCAGACAGAGCCTGCAGAACACCACGGTACAAACTGCTCAGGGCTTGAAAACATCCAGTTAGAGCCAGTGTATTCCTCAAATACAGCCCTTGGGATAAGAGTCTAGCAGCAAGGGTTGAGTGGGGCTGACCTTTTGGCTGAAATACTGCTTTCCTTCATTGCAAATTGTAATCATAATAAAAAAAATAATATTTCCCCTACAAAGTTTGCTAGAAGACTGAACTGGCCAGAGACTCAAAGATGAAGTGGTGTGATAACAAGAAGGGTGCTGGCACAGTGACACGACATGCTGAGAGCAGCTGCCGCAGTGATGGACACCAGGCTACAGGACAGCAATGCTGACAGCATCACCTCTTCATCCAGCTCTGTTTTCACTGGAATAATTTGTGGCACAAGCCAGCATGACTGGCTGGCTAAAGCCTCTTCCTTGTGTCACCCGCCGGGACATGGGGGCACGGCACTCAGCACTGCAGTGCCCATCACTGAAATCAGTGTGACCTGGGCACATATTTTGCTGATCACACATTTTGCAGCCATGCAGAGGGCCAGGCGATGGGCAGTCCCATGCTGTCCAGGGCCACCTCTCCTTTCCTTTCGAGGGTTACATCTGGGGGGCTGGTTTGCAATTAAAGATACCCAGGGTAATTGCTGCAGCCATCACCTGTCCATTATAACCACTGCCCGCTGAGGACACCATAACCCAGAATCTAAGGTATTTAAAAACTTACATGAAGATAAAGCAAAGAGGCAGCTTTTCCCTTTCCATAATCTACTGTATCCATGGGAACAGGTTGCAATTTGATATCTACACAATAGCAACAGACAGAAACCCTGCAGTGCATGGAGGAGAGGTCAGCTCAGCATCCTGGCCATGGCAGCACCCAAAGTGCTGGGGACACCCGGCTCCCCACCCCAGGAGTCACAGATTTAATGTGTGCAGGATGGCTGTGGTGCAGCCAAATGGCAGGAAAAAAAAAAAAAGTTAAAGAGCTGATGTGGTTCTCAGGGAGGAAGAGCTGGCAGAGCAACCCGGCCCATGAAGCAAGGGATGCTGCAGCAGGGTGAAGGAGACCTCAACCTAAAACTGAACAAGAAAACTGAGGAGGGAAAATGCTGGGTTTCTGTAGTTAGGTGTGAATGTCAATCTTCTATGGTGGGAAAAAATGGCAAGTAAATAAATAAGTCTCATAAGGAAGGATGAAGAAGAAAATAAATATCTCTCAGCTACTTCTCATTAGTGGAGAAGTATTTATTTGGATGACTATTCAGCCTATTCTCACAGCACCCCCACCACAGCCATACCGGTTCCGCACAGCTAACAAGCTATCAGCAGGGAGGAATGAGATTGTTTAATTTCTTAGCACACCTTAAATAGCCCATGGGGCTAACCCACATTTGGGAAAAATGAATACACAAGCCTGACAAACAGTATTAATAATGCAACACAAGGGCTTGCGAGCAGAGCATCGCGTATTAGAACCCCCCAAGCTGCGTACGCCGTGCGTGAGTCAGCTCTTTGCCCTGCCACAGCGATATGCAGCTGAAACCCACCCTAATAAAATACCTTTGGGGTTTATCTGCTCAAAGCTGATGGAAGGGCACAAGGTCTTCAGTCTGGTGTCCAGAAGAGGCAACAACAAGGTTCATCATCCCAAGCTGCAGGGATTCGGTCTCACCCTGCCCACCTGAGCAGCAGCTCCACGCCATCCTCCTGGGCAAGAGCAGGACCAGGTTGCCCCAAAACACTGCCCAAACCTCACCTCACCACAGCAGCAGCTTCACCAGGAGCTGGAACAGTTCAGCAGTGCTCTTGGTCTGCACCCCTGCCGAGGGAGTTACTGTCTGGAGTGGGGTCTTGCCTCACCTTGCCCTTCCCCGTGGCTCCCTGCAGCATAGGTGCAAGGGGAGCAGCACTGGGGGGCATTTCAGCTATACCTATCTGTAGATTTATATATATAAAATGATTTTTTTTTTTTCTCACTATGCAAGTTAAGTGCTCTGCAGCCACAGGCTGCTCCAGCACTAACGAAGGGAGAACACTACCCAGCACAGCCTTATTATTCCTGGCTACTTAATTACTGCTCATGATTGGTCTCTAATGAACCTCTTGCATCGGTACCTCATGATTCAATAAGGGTTTCAGGACACTCCTAACTAATGGGCAAATGGAGCCTGTTGCCACCTGGGCCCCATCAGACCTGGGGCCATGGGAAGGATGGTGTAAGGGTGCAGCGAGGAGATCGTGTCCTGGGCGTGGGATGGGAGATACTGGCAGAGAGGAGCTTTCATGTTCTGGGAGACACAGGCCACAGAATGCCTCTCTGGTCTTACAGAAAGTGGATTTTATTTAAAAAAACTCCAACACACAGGGGGAGGGTGGCTCTCAGGAGTTCCCTGAGAAGGTCTCAGAGCACCCATCTTCCTGACCAGCCTCCCCCAGCTGTGTGGGTTTGGGGCTTGCTCCTTCCATGTGCAGATTCTTGGGTTACCATCCATCCCTCCCAGGGCCACGAACCCCCGTTATGGCACCCGGGCTGCGGGGGGATGCGTGTGCTGCGTTGGAGGCTGATGTCAGGGACAGAAAAAGCTTTGGTCCCCTGCAGTCCTGAGCAGCACCAGGGAGGAGTGAACTGCGCATGGATCAGGCAGCCCTGGGTTTTTATTTAACCCTTAATCCCAGTAATTTGCTCTAACACTATAGTTCAAGCAGACATAGCCCCATGCACAGAGAGTCTGACACCAATTAGTCATTCAGGCAAAACAAGAGGGTTGGTATTTTTTTTTGCTTCTAAGTGCAAACAATTTTCTGTGACGTGTCAGACGAGCAATTGCCTTCCTACGGGCCCGTGTGGGTGGTGGCTTGACTCATCCCATCGGGTGAATTTGAGGACTTCAGTCTCATAGGGGTTAAACCTCTAATTTAATGGCTGGTTTATGCCCAAACTCCACTTTTAAATTATAGCAGCCCAAGCAACAGAGAGAAAGAACATCATGGGAGAGAGACTAAAGGAGGCAACAGAGCAGCGTTATTCAAGGAGGGAAGAACGTGGCCTGACGGAGATTAAGGTGGGGTGAAACCATGCCAGATGCCTAGAAGAGGTGTTTAGATGATGAGCAGGTGTCCTAAGGGGTACTACACTTATTTACTGAGCATTTATTGCTGTGGAGAACATCAGCCACGCTGATGATGGGTGATGCTCGGGGCAGAAGGACCTGACAGGCACCACCTTGCCCCCACCACACTCGTGTCTCTGTGCCTCAGGGGCTCTGGAGAAGTTTCCCCACAGTCAGTGAAGGTGTGATACTTGCTATTCATGCTGGGAGCTGCTGCCACACCAGGACTGTCAGAGGGATGGCAACACCATCCGGCAGCACGACCACTGTCACCTGTGCTTCACTGAGCACCCCATTTTCCTGCTCAGAACTAGCATTTACTGAACCAACAGCAAACACTGTTTTTGACAGATTTCTTTCCGCAGTCCTGCACTTATGAAGGGCTTGTGCTCACTGGGTGAACATCTGAACTCCCAGGCTCACAAGTGCAGCCACATGATGACAATCTCCCCAGTGAATTAAAATAATTACTTTTCTAAATTACCCCTAGACTCTGCTAAACCTTCTGGGGCCTTGAGGAAGGCATGAAGGTTGGTTGTTTTTTTTTTTTTTTTCCACACCTTCTACTAATGTAGGCAGACGTTTTAATTTATAAAATGAATAATTCTGTATTTAATCGGTACAAAGGAAAATTCCACATGGGGACAGGGACGTCTCATGATGCTGCACAGGATTAACCACACTAAACGACTCCCTGGCATGGGGGAACGTCGCCATGTGGGACAGTCCTTGCGCCTCTAAGCATCAGCAGTTTTTGGGATCCTGAAGGTTTCCCTTCCAAGAAGACAGACTGAGGATTCATCAAGGGGAAGATGAAAAGGCAACTGTCTTTGAGCCACCAGAAACCACTAACATCAAGCCCAGCAAACTAGACTGGGCTCTGCAAATGCAAGATCAGCGCTTGTGAACTCCGGAGCTTTCTTGGAGCCCAGTTCACACAGATTATCGAGATCCCAGTGGAAAACTGATGGTTTGTCTGGCTGGAGCGAACAGATGAGGATCAGCTAGCTTTGTTGCTGGATGGTGAGGCTGGGCTGTGCTTTAATGCTTGAACCTTCCCATCAGCGAACCTGTCACGTAGCACTTACAAACTGGGTTTTAAAACGAGAAAACACATGCTTCAGACTCATACAAAAATTAAGGATAAATACAACTATGTCTACAAAAAGATGCCCTGGTTTTAAAACTTAGCAAGTTAGGAGTCAGTGACACTAGATATATGTTACTTGCTTATCTGAAGAGACCGGAGAGGAAATAATTCTGTTCAGGAGCTGGCAGTGAGGTCCCACAGGACGGCGTCAGAGCTGATGCAAATAGTGATGCTGCGCCGGGATTTGGACCCTACTTTGGGGTAGTTTATAAATAATACACAATAAATAAAGAATAATAATTAATAAATAATGAATAATAGCAACAAAGAAGTGCAACATTCATTACACGGTGTGCTACAAATGAGGTTAAAAGTGCGTATATTCTATTGGTTTCAATTACAGTAAGACAAAACAAGCTCAAACATACCAAGAATCCCTGGAAGGTTTTGTTTTACAGAAAGGAAATTTTTGGAAAGGTTTAAAGTAACAAGAATAGAAATAAAGCCTGGACAAAGCTCTTTCTCCTGTGAGGGGACAAGCTGGTGGCTTGCACGGGAGCACAGCCTTCTCCTTCCCTGCACTTTGCTTTCAGAGCGATGCCATCACTCTGGCAGCTCAGACCAAAAGGCCAAAGCATCATATGAAATTATAAAACTGAAAACCTCAAAATAAACTTCATACACACACACACACACACAAGCAGCTAAAATACCATTTTCTTGCCAAAATGAAATACAAGCCAACTACTTTGCTATGGTGGACTAGGGCCATTAATTTCAGCTACATCACTTTACACCGGTTTGGGATTTCGCCTTTCACTGAAATAACTTGCATTTCTGGCCATAATTTCCCCAAAATCCTGTGGCTAATGTTTCCTGTGGGAAGGTTTTAGGTAGTTTTCCACTTGACGCTGCACTGAAATTCTCCCAGTTGCTCTTCAGGCCTCCAGTCTATGGGATAGTGGGGGAAATGTGGGTGCCTGAGCCACCCCAACCACCCGGACATCCCAGGGCTGTAGATCCTCCAGTCTAATGCAGGGGACTTAAGCAACAGTTTTCAAGTGGCCGTAGAGAAACAACAACCTGCTTGTGTCTAAGCCTGCTGAGGTATTGTTGAGAAAGATGGCTATTTCCCATTACAGCCTGGTTAAAAGTGATATCCAGTAACACAAGATATCAATCAGTAAATATTCAATCAAGACAAAATTTGTATTTTTCTAATGATGACTGTGTCTTGGAGATTTACACAAATCTTTTATGCCTGCTGATGCTTAGGCCAGTAAATCTAAAACTCTAGGATACAGTCAAATGCACAAACCTTTGCAGCCTACCTAAACCAAAAGACATACTTTTTTTTTTTAGGTCTACTCTATTTTCTTTTTTCTGCTCTTGAGTCCAGCCCTGGATTTATCCCCCAGGCAGAACTGCTGTTTGCTCAGCAGGATGAGCTGAAAGAAGAGGACTTTGGAGAGATGAAAAAAAAAAACAAACCCCAACCAAAGAAAGGAAAATATCCCAATTCTCTAGGTTACATTATTGGTTACGTAACCAATCTATCTGGTTATATTTACGCTCCTATAAATAGAGAATTGCTCTGTCAGAGTGGCCTAAAAAATAAATGACAAACGGAGTCAGGATGCGGCGGCCGCCGGCGCGTGGGTGGGCGCGGGCGCAGGGGTGGTGGGGCTCAGCACGGCGACGAGGACATCTGGTCGTAGTCGGGGCACTTGAGCAGAGCCGGGTAGTTACTGTTCATCTGCAGGGACGCCTCGCTGGAGATATCCGAGGGGCTGCGTCCCCGTGCCCACGCGTCCGGGTGCAAGAACTGCCCCGAGTAGTCGGAGCAGTTGCTCAGGCGGGGACGGTAGAAGCCGGGGTGGGGTCGGTAGATGTCCTCGGCCGTGTATCGCTTCATGAACAGGTAAACGGACATCACTCCGGCGCTCTGCGGGGGAGAGAGACACGGCCTGATGCTCACACTGCTAATGGCTGCCTTCCCCACCACCACCAAAACAGAACAAAACTAGAAATTGCTTTTAGTGCTCTGCTGATGATGGGCAAGGGCTCCCGAGGACAGTCGCTTCGCTGCCCCGGGTCCCTGCAGTAAATAATGTGGCACCACCATGTCTCCTCCTCCTGCACCCGTGTTTGGCATCAAATGGTGATCAAATGCCCCATGCTCCAGGCTTGGAGTCTGTCCCCACTGTGTGTCTCCCACCGTACTGTAAATGACCCGTCTCTCCTCATAGCCTACCCTTACACCCCACCTGAGTCCTCTTTTTGCTCACGGCCTCAGTGCTCCCCCTGAGGAGAGGATACACTCGTTACAGGGGTGTCAGAGCTCCTGGGTACCTCTGTGAGAAGGAACGAGATGGCAGAGAAGGCAAATGACCATCCATATTTGTAATTGAAGAATGTTTCCGAGTCCTTGGTCCTGTTCAGCATCTCGTCGTTAATGCTGGATATGTAGAGGACCAGCCCCACCACGAGGGACAGACCTGGGGAGAAACCAAGGAGAAGGACAGTGGGAAATGCTTCAGGGATGGAGCTGATGAAGAAGCCCCTTCCTTTAAGACCTGACTTGTAGGTGAAAGTATAAAACTGTGGAAACGTGTTTGAAATAAGTGGGGAAAGAGGCTGCTTTCCTGCTGAGCTAACCCAGGGCACTTCTCTCATTTCAGTCAAACTGTTACCTGCTCAAGCAAGTCCATGTGCACCACGTAGGAGCTGGCTTCAAAGCTCGGCTGTCACAGCTATTTGTTTAACACTAGCACAACACCATGAATAAAACATCCACTTGTCTCATGTAGAAACATCCCAGCTGAGCAGTTTGAAGTTGCACATCTCTCCTGCGACCGATGTGCCGCGAGAGGTGTCCTCTCCCCCAGCAGCTGCTCCTGCATGGGTGGTGTGTGCTGCATCTCCTCGCCACTGCTACAAACAAGTCTTGCGCCGGGTGATTTTCCATCCTGCACGGCCCGAGCAGGCTGCGGGGCTGAGCCGGGAGCCCCCGCGGCTGATGGCTCCAACGAGGAGCCACCACAGCAGGTTGGGAGAGCACCAGCAGCTACGAAAGCAAACGTGCTCCATGCGCAAGGATTTTCAGGAGAAAACCTGCCTGGCAAAACTCACCTGACAGGATGAAGAATATCCCCGAGACGAAGGCGAGGATGGTCCTGTGAGGCCGAATGTGGCCGATGTTGCTCAGGATGAAGCCGATGAACATGAAGAAGAGGCTGACCAGAGGGAAGGGTGTGGCAGAGCGGATCATCTCTGGGGGAGAGGAGCAGAGGGAAGGGGGAACAGATCACACAGCGCGAGAAACGGGCTCAGCTGGGTGAGATGGCTCCAGCGCTGCTGCTCTCTGACCACGCTGTGTCCTTCATCGCTCCTGGTTAATGTGGGTGCCCCTGTGCCTGGCAGGGCTTCCCCTCTTTGCTAATGAGCTGAGTGAAGAGGTGCCTCTGTCTAGCTGTGGAAATGTCTGCTAATGTTTGCATTCACGAGGGTTTCTATGATGTGAAGTGTTACGTAGGAAAAAAAGCATCAGAACCTGCATTTTTCTCTAGTTTTGCTGCTAAATACTTCTATTTATTAAATCAGAAATGACTGCAGAATTCATTGAGAGAGCTGTGAGACTCCATCCTTAACTCATCCCCCTACGTAATGTGTAAAATCGCTTCAGAATAAATACAGCTGCAGATTCTGGAGAGGAGACTATAAAGCCAATTCCATAAACATCAGCACTGAATAGCCAGTGACAGGAAATTGTAGAGCTTAGAGCCCCTGTGAGCATCCTGCCATTAGAAAGGGATGTCCCTAAGTGTTTAGGAGCATATTGGGTAATTCACATCCTGAAAAATGTAGTTGCATCCTTGCATGGTTGCACTGTCAAGGAACTAGGAGCTCCTTTGGCAAGGACACAAATAGGATTTCCTGGGGGGATCCCTAGTGACCCTTTGGTGCTTTGAAGGGTGCAAAGAGTAAGACTCCACCCAAACACTTACTCAGAACGTTGACTGTGGATTCAGACGTCAGCTGGATGTTCATGGGCATGACGTATTCGATAGTGAAGCACCGGCCACGCTCTTCACCTGCAGCAAACAGAGACCGAGTCACACCTCTAGTGTGTTCGTCTGTTTATTTCGGGTGGACAAGAGAGCGGCTTTAAAATTAATTTCTGTGCATGCATAAAAATAATCTTGCTTTTTAGTGCTGCTCCTATCTTGGATGCCTCCCTTGTATATAGAAATGTGAACGCTGAAGCCAGAGGGTTTCAGCTCACCCCAGGGGTGGTATCAGAGCTCCTCACCCCCCTGACTTTTTCAAAGCAGCAGTTGAAACTTCGTGACATTTCAGATCAGTCACTTTGAGATTCCCATTCCCTTGGGTTTTAATCAACTCTGTCCCTGCAGCCAAGTCGCTTCATCAAACTTGGTGCAGATGGAGGGAACGGACCAGCTGACCTGAATCTAAATGTGGCAGGGACAAAAAGGAAAGTTTTGAGCTGCTGCCCAAGGCGCTCTGGCCGTGGCACTGGGATGGAGCGGGATGGTGGACAGTGGGGTCTGGCACGGCAGCAGCGAACTCACCCAAAGCCTGCGTGCAAAGGCACTTTTATCCATCTGACTGTTAAAAGCGGGCAATGGGATGTTGGCGTTACTCAGGTTGTGCCTCAGTTTGGAAGCAAAGATGGGCACAGCCTTTAAAAATCCCATTGTCCCCGACCCTTTCCTGTGGTTTGATGCGATACGCAGCAAACATCACCTTGGCAGGGGGTGTTTTGGGGAGGGAAGCCATACCTGCGAGGAAGCAGACTCTCCAGAGCCCCGAGTGAAGCGACAGTTTGATTTCTGCTGTCTGGTTTTGGGGCTGGACGATGCCCTCCTCCAGGTAGAGCCAGTAATCAGTGCTGACGGAGATGCCCAGGAGGCCGAGGCCGCAGACGGCGAACACGCTGCTGAGCAGGGTCAGCGCCTTCCTGCCACAGGCGCTCATTCCCAACGGCACCGGGGGCCGAGGCGGCACCGGGGGGACGCTGCTGGGAGAGGGACGCAGCCGTCAGCACGGAGCTGTCTGCTGCTTCTTGGGCGGATGGATGTGTCAGAGCTTTGCCCTCTGCCCTTAATTGCTTATATGGGTCGAGCTGAAATAAGCCATTAAAACAATCACAGTGGGCTCTGACAGATGGAGAGTTTGAAGCAAATCCCACCCGACTGCGGCCCGACGCCGGCCCAGGGCTCATGGATGTGCTGAACGCTGGGTGCTGGCACCGGGGCGGGAGTGGTGCGGGATGGGCTGGCTGGGAGCGGCTCATCGGCTTCGGTTTGATTTGCTGCAGGTGAATTCCTGCTGCTCCAGCCAAATCCAGCACTCATCTCCCCAAGGATGTCACTGAACCGCAGCATCTGCCGTCCTCAGGGCCTTATCTAATGCGCCCACGAAGAGCGGCAGCACGAGCCGTATCTCCTCGACACAGGAGCGCGCTGAGGCTCACAGACACTGCATTAATGGATCAACACAGATACTGTGGGACTAAAACCCCCTCCTAAGCAGCTCCAGTCACCACCCCGCTCCCCTCAATACTGCCATTTTTCCTCTTGCAGGGTAGATATGCCCATTGGGGGGGGATCAAGATCTCAATTTTTGCCAAAACCATGCTACATTTCTGCACGCTGAATGACAACATCAACCGCCTTGAAGCAGAGCAGAGTGACACAATAGCTTGCTTTTTTTTTTTTCTTTTTATTACTTATTTTGCTGGAGCAGAGCTGCCAGTGCTGATGTCGGCTCAACACACAGACTGAACTGGTCCAAACTCAGCTTGTGCTTCAGGGGGAGGCTGGAAAACGGAGCCAGAGAGCTGCAGTCAGGCCCTAGGCAAACATTAAAGGAGGAGGCAAAAAAAATTCCCTTATCCTCATGTTGCTCATGGATGGAATCTTCTTTTTCTTTTTTTTCTCTTTGATTTTTGCTAATTTGTGGAAATTAGCAGTTCTCATGGTGCCCTGCAGCCTGTTAAATCAGAAATCTGAGTTCTTGGTGAAGCAGAGAAAAAGCGCAATTGATGGGGGGGCGGGAAGCCACAGAAATGACAGATTAGAGGAATAAGAGCAAGAAGGAAAAGATACACACGAGAGGTCTTCTGGGGAGTGGAAACGAGGCTGATAGTGCTATTGACTGTTTTTATAAAGACAGTATGAATCACAGGTAAGTGCTGTGTCATGTATATTTTTGAAGGCACATTTTGCTGTTGTTCAGCACTGCAAACAATAAGGGAAAAAAGAAATAAACCCAACTAGACAACAAAAGCCACCAAATTTAACTCAGGAGCAGCAGGATGCATCATCCTTGGGCTCCCTTTAGACCTGCACGAGCCTCGCTTGTGCCGCCTGACGTTTCAAGGGACAACAAATGGGAGAGGGCTGGGGGCAGAGCCCCGTGTTCCCCTGCTGCGTCCCACCGCCTGGGAAGAAGGCAGGAGCCCTCCTAAACACACATTTCATTCGAAACCCCAATTCCCAAAATAATGATGGATAAACAGCGGAGCCGGGGCACCTATGTGTTACGTCTCCCTGGGTGTCAGTGTTCGAACCCGCGCAGGAACAGCTCCATCCCTCCGTGCTCCCAGCCGGTGCTCGCTCCGCACGCGTTGGTGAGCGGATTTGTGGCAGAGAAGTTTTGGTGCTGTTATCACTGCGGCAAAGGTGGTGGGATTTATTGGGATTTCGTGATGAAATCGGGAGCTGCGGCTCCTGCCTGTGCTGGGAGATGACAGCTCGCTGGTCTGGCATGTCTGGCCAGTGAGCGGACTGGAGGAGGGCTTATTTTCTTGCGCCTCTGATATAAATACAGTAATGTTTACTTGCTTACAGTGACTCTCAGAGATGCCAGAAGTCCACATAGCTTTCGCACTTTTGCACTTGAAAACCTCCAAAGATAATGTTCTGCTGTAGTTCCCTCATAATTAGTATGAGCAGGCGATGCAGATGATGTTTTTTTCTTGCTGCTACCAGTGTGTGAGCCGGGCTTTCTCAGGGAGCTCCTGCAGTGCCCATCCCTGACACATCCATAGCGTAGATGCACCACACCAAGGTCCTCAGCAGCCCCGTCCTGGGCTGATCTTGCAGCAAGTTTCATATAAGACTGATGTGAAGGAAACTAGTAGTTGCTGTAGAGTCCAAATAACTGCGTTCACTGAACAGATGCAACACCCAAGGCCTGTCTGCACCTCCAGCTTGCTGCTCTGGGCAGCAATAAGAGAGAAAAGCAGGGAACGATGCTGGAAGAGTTGCAAATTCTTGAGCAAAAGAGAGAAAGGGAGAGATAGACTTTTATTGTCGCATCCTACCCTGAGTCCAAAGCAGACAAGTACATCTTGGTAGGAAGCAGATGTACTTGCACCCTCAAGCGCTACAACAGCTCTGACAATTCTCTTCCATATGAAATTAGAGGATTTGGCTCTTCCTACGTTCACACTGAGCCGTTTCCCAGAAGGTACCGACCTACGGGAAGGGGAGTGCTGTCACTTACAGACAGCCCAAGCAAATGCTCCAAGCTCACACTACCACAAGCTTTCCACCTTTGGCTTTGCTAACCTGCCTCATTTTTAATGTTCTTATTTAATGATTCCCTCAGCTCAAGAAAAACAGGATGTGTTCCCAGGAGGGGCACCCCCCTGCTAGGGGTGTGAGGAGCGAGGTGCACAGAGGAGATGCTCAGATTTTTTTTTTTTTCCTGAAGAATTAGGAGGCAGCAGCTAAAAAAGAAACAGGTAGGTCCGGGGCTGAGAAGCATGTCCTGCAAAGGTAACCCTGCACCTTGACAGCCTTACTGTCAAGGGGAGAAACCAGCACAGAGCCGTAGACGTTAGGACACAGCTTCACCCTTTCACGGGATGGGAATATGCAATTTCTCAGGGAATATGACATTTCCCATTCTATAGATCCCATTCGATCCAGCAATACGACCAAGCAAAGCACAGATCTTCTGGCTCATCCATCCTTCTCCCTAACTCCATCAGAGCCATATTTTCTAGTTGCTGCCTCAACACGAACAGCATTTACTACAGGGTGTCTCATCCCTCTTGGCATTTTGGTGCCAAAATGGTAAAAGGAGCTGGAATCTATTCTTGGCTCATGTATCATCAACAACTGTCCTCCCCGCACTTTTTTCATTAATACGGAGCCAAACATCAAAGTAGGGAGTATGGGAAGGTCCAGATAAAGCCATTCAGAGGGAAATAGCTAAGTATTTCCTGTGATTTGTTGTCCATCAACATCAGGCACTGGAAAATAGACCCATTTGGCATCATTTATATTGATCATTGGGGTGACGCTAGCAGCAGCGAGCGGGGTTGGGTGTCAGAGTCACACCTCTCAATTGCCTCATTTCTTTTCTCTCTCACACTTCAATTTCCATGTAATCACGGATGCATTAGAGAGTGATCCCTATTACTGCCTTGCTGGCACATAAAATCAAGCTCGATGTGGTGGGGGATGGCATGCAGGGATGGTGCAGAGCAGCCACTCGGAACGAACCTTCCCCCATGTCCAGCGCCTGGAGAATTAGCAGGACTCCCAAGAGAAAGATTTTTCAAGGACACGAACAGGAGCTGGCTTGATTTTCAGCTAGGATTTAGTCCCCAGTCATCTTTAACAATTGTGCTATGCTTCCTACAGCTGAAAAAGTGATGCTGTTTAGTTTCCAGCGGTAGCTGTATTTTAAATTAAATAAATATAGCCCCAAAGATTTCCAAGAAATAGGTACCTTAGAACTGTTCCTGCTCCTTCAATCACACTGTGCCTTCTGGTAGTAGTCCAGGGAATAATAAAGGCAGTCTGCAATGTAATCTGCAGTCCTCATAATGAATTTTTTTTTTATCTTGGAGCCATAGCTTCTGATGGGAATTGCACATGGCCCTCACCGGGACTGACCCCTTCGGAAAATTAAATGATATTGGCATTGTTCCTAATGCAATTCACCCAGATCTAGGAGGAGGTTGAAGTCCTTACCTATTGCTCCATGGTCACAGAAAGAAGATATGATCCTGGTCCAGATTTCTGAGCCCACCCCTCTGTGACCTAATGCTGAGCACAAGCCACTGCTCTGGGCTACATGGATGGGCTGAGAAAAATAAATATATTGCTGGTGAACTGCCTGGGCAGGATGGGTCGTATCTGTAAATCACTGCTCTGAGTTCAGTGGAAAAAACAACACTCCCTCCCGCCCTGGGTAAAGGTAGAAAGAGCAGGGCCAAGCCAGGCCAAGCAGGCAGCTATTGATTTTTATGTGGCTAGAGCATAATTTCCAATTTCCTGACAGGTGTGAGGAGGGGAAGTACTGCCAAGGTTATCAGAGCAGACGGGAGGGAAGGTTTTGTTTGTGGAGGGCTGCTGGGCTCCAGGACGAGGCTGGCGACCTGCCTCTGCAGTTGTGAAAGCTGGGTGCCTGCTGCAAGCCAAAGGCAGAGGGAAATCAGAGGTTAAGCCATGGACCTGGAGTGATAGAGGCTGAGCAGAACACAAAGGAGAAGGAATGAAGCCTGGTGTAAGGGGACTAGGAAACCCACTCAGTGATCGGTGTACAAAGAACATCAGGGACCTGGGTAAGAGCTGGCAGATGCAGGAGAGCGTGAGCTGTGATGGAGCTGAACTGAAAGGACCAGCTCTCACTAAGCTGCAATGAAAATTGGGCTGGCTAAAAATAAAGGGCCTTCAAGCAGCATGATCTCTTCCTCAGGACACAACGCAGGCCACAAATGTGGGGAAAAACAAATAGGTCAAGGAGAGTGGCTCTTTCAGAACTAAACTTTTCAGATCTGGCAGTGCTTGGGCAAGCAGGACCGTGCTGGAGGGCTGGCTGAGGCCACCACATCATCACCCTCCTTCAGACAGCAAAACATCTTCCTGGCTCCCTCGTGGGCAACTGCAGAAAAGCCTAATTGGTCATTAATAACCAACGGAATAGGAAGGTGGTCACAAAATGGCACAGCAATTCCCATGGAGCTTGTGGAGCACCCAAAGGGTGCAAACGCTTTCAGCCCTAAAACAGGGTGTGCAGGATGCAGCCTGTGTCCAGCTGACTTGAAGGGCTGCTCCGTGGGTTTGCAGAGAGGGTTTTACCACCGTGAGGAGCGCACGGTGAGATGGCTTCACCCACAGCTGGGTGTATGCAGCTCAGCAGAGGAGAGCAAGAGGGAGCCTGCGGCTCCGCAATCCTGACCTGGAAAACTGGGTGACCGGGATAGTTTTGTCATTGCCACTGGGGAAGCAACAGTCCCTCCCGAAGCTTGGAAAAGCTGTAACGCAAGCAGAAGAGAAACACAAGGCTGCTCTGCTTTTATATAATTGCTGAAGGAGAACGGGGATGGCTGAAGAGAAAAGCAGTATCTCCTGGGCTGGTGCACCGAGAGGGAAACGGTTGAAGGGGAGGTGGGTTGGAGCTAGTCCGCAGGGTCCTCAGGAGCTCTGGCCTGGGCTGCCAGCACCCACCACCTCACGTGGTACATGGGAAGACAGAAATATATAAGGCAGCTTTACAGAGGTGCATTAGTGGTCATATGGAAATGTCAGCTCAATTTCTGAGAGAAATTATGTATTGGAAAAATTAAGTACAGAAATAAATCTTTTTGATGTGGAGGAGGTTTAGCCTGATATTAAGAAATGAAGCAGTCCATCTCATGGCGGTTTGAACGAGCACGAGTAACTGGGACTGGAAGCAGCCATAAACTCCAACAGGATCAATACTGGACTTGAAAGCTTCCCCTCAGCTGCTAACAGGAGTGCTGCACGGCCGGCCCCGCACACAGCCTGGCAGAAACCCCAGCCGTGGACCACTCCAGAGCACTGGGCTCACAGGCTCTCCAGACAGTTGGGTTTGTTGGGTTTTTTTTTTAAATAAAAAAAATAAAAAGAAGGCTGGTTATGACTTATTTAAACCTAGATTGAGCCACAGCAATCATAAACCCATTATTTTTTTGCTTGTCATCAGACACAAGGAACACCTGAAAAATAATTGGAAGAAACGATGTGTGACTTGCCACACACTGCAACGCTCACCACTAGTTTTATGAGTGGGATTACTTGGGATTCTTCTCTTAACCTTGACTTCCATCATTTTTTCTGAGAAATTCCCCCTTTCCCTAGTACTTCCCATGCTTCATTTCTTGTCCAAGTTATTTCTTGAAGCTTGATCACATCCTTTCATGGCAGTGCAAGAGCGAATTAAACGCTGTATAGAACATAGCGCCGTATTTTTCTGCTGAACTCACGACCTGCATAGCTAACCCCGAGGCTGACCCACAGCTCTCATCCTTCTTCTTTACCATGCACCAGCCCGTTTGCTGTGGACTGCTCAAAACCTGCCCTTTTTGCTAAGAGACTACTCAAAACCTGCCCTTTTTTTTTCTGGGCTGGGTTTGCAAGGATGGTTGTTACCGATTCACTGAGCCCACCTTCAACTCCAGCACCAAATACAAGGAGATCAAATGATATTCCCAAGGTCAAAGGAGAAGCAATGGAGATTTATTTCCCCAGCCCTCTAACCAGACACTTTCCTGAACTGGCTGCCTCTGTGGTGACCACGTCGCCACACTCACCAGGGTGATGGCTCTGCTCCAGCTCATTGGCTTTGGATGATGCCAACAACTTGCAACAAATAAAATCCAAACAGGCCCTCCAGTCCCAGCTCACACGCTGCTGGCACAGCCCGTGTGTGTACAGCTAGTGCTCATTCACATGGTATTTCTGGATCCACAAATACCCCTCCAAAACCTCTTACAGAACACATCCTGCCCGTGTGCCTCCTTTCTCCTCGGTGTTTACGCTCTTACCTCTTTTAACCCCAGCTGAAGCAACGCTTTGGCAAGCAGAAAACCTGTGCCGTTGGCTGTGAAGGTGGGAAGCTCAGGTTCTGGCAGACCGACTGCGAGGCAAAGTGTCACAGCAAGGAGGGTCTTCGATGCTTCAGCTTCGATGCTTCGGCTGCTGGACGGCTCTGGGAGGAGCTGAGAGTGGGGTGGCTTTGGCAGTGGGCAGAGGACAAGTCCTGGACTGCAGGAGAGGGCACAACCTCAGCTCTCCGCCTCCGACCAACTCACAGGACAGATGCACGAGGCCGGGACTCAGGGACAGGCGGATGGCCAGCACGGTTCCACATCCACGCACCAGCAGCTCCTACCCTGTGGTTTTTGTAGGCAAGAGTTACACAAAGTGCATTTCTTAAGAGGGAAATAAAAGGTAAAGCTCAGAGCCTGCAATATTGCCCACGCACCCAAGTCCACTTCTCTAGGTCTAAACTATATATATATATAGACACACACTCAAAGTTTACGTCACTAACAATAGGTGAGCCCTTTCCTCTGGAGAGCCCTTCCCAACGCCCTCTCACCCCCTGCACAACAAAGCTGACATACAACATTCACCTACTTGCAGCATGCCAGAGTGCTCGCAGTCAGGGACATGAGTCAAACCTCTGATTGCAATACCCTGCAAAGAGCTACAAAAGCAGAATAAAAGGGGAAATATCTAGTGCAGCGAAGCCAACCAGCTGGGGACTTTGCTATAAGATCTGCAGAAGTCTCGTGGCCGTGTGCTCTGCGAAGCGGTGTTTGCCCATTAACCTCTGCGTGCTGTACGTTGCAGGTTGTACTTTATATCCTAAATACATAAACTCCAGTAACCCAGCGATCCAGTGACCCTCTTCTGGTCTCAGCGTTGTGCTTCCCTCTGCTCACCTTGGCTGGTGCAGAGGGAGCCTGGGCAGACCCGTCAGCAGGGGTAGGCGAAGGCAACACCGTGTCTGCGAGGGCTGGAGAAGAGCAGCGGGATCAGCTCCCGGCATCCACCTCACACCAGGACCGAGGTTGGGCTGGTCTAGGGGAATGCTAAATCCGTAACAGGTGGTTCTTGTTCACTTGGACGTGTCATTTAAGATGGCAAAAAATTCTGCAATGGCCTTGTATATTGAAAAGAGGAGAATAAGCCTCTTCCTAGCGTAGTGACAGCTTTTCAAGGTCTCTGTGTCCTTCCTTCTAGCATCAAGGCAGGTCACAGCATGATTGAAGATCTCAGGCACCTTTTCCATAAGATATTTATGTTGTTTCAAACCGAAGTGGGTATGAACAGAACCTGCAAATGCAGCATAAGCCCTGCAGGAGCTGTGTATTATGACTGCCAACGCATGAAATTTCTCTGGGCAATAAACTTTTACTGCTACAGAAGATCTAAGAAAAGCCCCAGTTACCAGCCCAGGCTTTAGGATATGAGGCTGCTCCTGCCAAGCTGCTCAGCAGAGAGGGGCCAACACCCCCGTTTCCTTCTTTTCCCCTTAACGATCAGTGCATGACAGCTTGAGCTAAATTAAGCAGCGCTGGGAGGTAAAAAATAGCATCAAGAGCTAATTAAAACCCTTCCGCCTCCCCCGTGTCGGTGGCAGGGAGAGGCGAGCCCTGGGTACCTGTGCCGTGGAGGCAGGGCAGCCCGCCGCAGCTCTTCCCCCGCCGCCGCAGCTCTTCTCACCAGTGCTGGCAGCTGGGGTGTTTTTATGAACACTTTCAGTGTGATAAATGAGAGAAAGTGAGAAATCCCCCGAGCGCCGTTGGTGTCTCCGAACGCCGAGGGCTGCAGACAGGCGGCACGTCGGGCGGGCTGCGCGCGCCGGCGAGGGCTGCCGGGACCCTTGGCTGGATTAACCACGACTGTTAGCATGAAGCAGGCGTCTCGTTATCCGGGAGATTGCATTCCCCCCTCCCCGCTTACAAACCAGCTTTACCACAAAGCCTCGGGGTACCGAACTGATAAAGAAAGCGGGGACGGGCTGTGTCATCCATCCACACCTCGGACAAACATCTTAACAACCCAAGTGCCATTTGTGGCTGCCATTAAACCCAGTTACCAAACACAACGGCTGCTCCATCTGGTTTTGCTTAAGCAGTCTGGGACTCCGTTCCCCAGATGCTGGTGGTGGTGGTGGCTTTGTGCACAAGCTCTCCAGGTCTGACGCTGAGCGGCTGCAGGAGTTTGGTCCCATCTTCACAGAGGAAAGGTCTTTGCTTTGTGTAGCTTGTTGAGTTTAACAGTCAGGAATATTAAAGCACATAGTAAGCATTTCACAGAATGATCTAGGTTCGAAAGGACCTTGAAGATCATCTGGTCCAACCATTAACCTAGCATCAACAGTTCCCACCTACAGCAGATCCTTAAGTGCTAAATCGACCCGACTCTTGAACCCCTCCAGGGATGGGGACTCCACCACCTCCCTGGGCAGCCCATTCCAACACCCAACAACCCATTCTGGAAAGAAAAGCTTCCTGACATCTAGTCTAAACCTCCCCTGGTGCAACTTGAGGCCATTCCCTCTTGTCCTGTCGCTTTCTACTGGGCTAAAGAGGCTCAAACCCAGCTCTCTGCACCCTCCTGTCAGGGAGCTGTAGAGGGCGATGAGGTCTCCCCTCAGCCTCCTCTTCTCCAGACTAAACCCCCCCAGTTCCCTCAGCTGCTCTTCATACAACATGTGCTCCAGACCCTGCACCAGCTTTGTTGCCCTTCTCTGGACACATTTGAGTAATTCAATGTCCTTTTTACATATCATTGGAGATACTAAAGTTTCTACCACCCAGATTTTAGCAAGATTCATTGCCATTTCCACAATTTGACGGTAAATGTCCCAGCAGGCTTGGCAGGAAAAACCAGGCAGGGCACGGAGCAGCCTGAGACCAGGCACAGGCAGCATGACCCGGTTGGAGGAGCACGGCTCAGCACCAAGCCCAGCCTGGCCTTGGGAGGACATCGCCTGCCTGCGCTGCTCGGCACAGGGTGCAGCCACATCCTGGGAAACTCTGTGGGAACAGCCGGGGAATAGACTCGGTCTCACTCTTTCTCCAGCCCTCCCCCAGGCCAGCACCCACTACCAGGTGCAACTTGGCCTGACTGTGTGTAACTGGTCCTTACCTACACCCTCTCCTGTTCACCAGCCCCTTACATCATGTTCCTGCAGCACCCACCCACCTTTCCTGCCACCGTATAATGACCTGATGTTTTCTTCTCCATGGCAGTCTGTAAGATATTTTACAGTAAAACCTGTAGAGCCATTGACACACACGATGCTGACACTTCTTCAGCCATCCCCACCCTCCTTCACTCATTGTACAGAAGAGGGCAGGTTTATCCCCGGTTTCTTTTCTGCCTGTAGCTCACCTTTCCTGTGCTTCAGGAGAGATGTGCTGCTTCCCAAGCAGCAACTCCAGCATTGGAAGGATTTAACATGACTTTTCAAATCACTCAGTTTTCTAGGCTGGGTTTGCTGTGTTGCTTCTGGCCATTTGCAGCTTCCGGGGTCTCCCAACAGCATCCAAGAAAGGACCATTTTGTACTGAGTATAAAGTCAGTGCAGCTCTGAGCATCCCCCCAAGAGCCACCACCACTGAGCTGCCACGGCAACAAGAATCAGGGGAAATCAGACACGAAGGAAGCTGGGGATGGCAAGAAACAAAAGCAGAGCCGCAGCTTGGGTCAGGTGTTTCGGCAGTGCCAGAGGCAGAACTTTCTGTTCCTGTGGAAAGTGATGGCCTCCACCCTCACTTGGGTAAAAGCCACGGCAGCAGGAGACGAGGGCAGAGCAGCTCCACCCAGACCCTGCCGCAGTCCTGGGAAGGTCTCTTGGGTAACAGGCTTCCAGTCGCGCTTTTAGCTGCCACACGAGCTGGATGTCCATGACCTGTCGCTCTGTGAGCGCCAGTGGAGGATGCTCCAGGGTTTCTCGTCCTGCTTAGTGCCAGCACCTGACGTGGGGCCCCCACACTGCTGCCTCTCACTGGCTCTGGTGCAGTCTGCGGGGTCTGACTCGAGCATCACCTTGGTTAAGTATTTCTCAAATAGTCACAAAATTTTTCTTCTGTGATGTATTGTATCTCAGTCTCTGAAAGTGCTAATCCTTTTGAACAGATGGCTTGGCATCCAGGCAGTGACTCCTTTGTCCTGAGAAAGGGAGGACTGGAAAACTCTTCCTATCTGCACGTGTCTAAGCAATGGCTGGAATGTTCCACCTCGGCTTGGTATTATGGTATCAACCTCTGTTGCTGAATTTTTAATAACCAAACCCATCCAGAGGCTCTCTCCCACATAAACCCAACATTCTGACTGCTGCAGAAGGGGAAGTTTCTGTCCACCATGCTCCACCTCTGCTGTCCCCGCTCTCCTGCCGGCTGGAGAAGGTGGAGGGACACGGATGCCCGTCAGGAGCCGCACCGCAATCCTACACTTGGGCCACCTCTACCAAACATAACCCACACACCTCCCTGAGCGAGCAGAGACGTTCCCAGCCAGAGCTGCTGCAGAGAAAAGGGACATCTGGTGTAACCAAGCGTTTCATGTCTCCTGAGAAGCAGCCAGGGCCACGGGGCCGCCCACTGTGGGGCTTCGAGGGTGAGCGAGGTCCTGCCTGGCAGACCTGAGCCTCCGCTCCCCGTGGACAGGGACGTCACCCAGCAGCACTGGATGGCACCGAGTGGGAAAATGGATTATCCACCAGTTGTCCTGGGTCAGAGGATGCCGTCTGCTGCTGCTCAAATAACCCCCCCTCAGTGCAGCCGCGAGCATCACTCTATGGAGGTTTTTCACTGGTGAGCAATGTTACCTCCCTCCTAATAAAGGAAAAGCTGCAAGTCCCGTCTTCCAAAGGGACAAGACACAAACTCCACTCATCTGTAACAGCCCATTTTCTGAGCCTGATGATGCATCAGTGTTGTCCTTTGACAAATCCAATTTTCCTAGTAAATATTTTACTATAAATGTCAGAAGTTTGTGGCTCTACAGCGATAAAATCGGTCTGACTTTGATTCCCAATCCTCTTTCCAGAACACACCTAGAACCCAAACTCCCTTTAATTTCAGTGAGACTAAGACTCCCAGATAACTTATGACCTAGACTCCATCATCTAGTTATTTTTTAAATGCCAAGGGCTTTAAATCTTCCCAGCTGATTTATGAAAAGCTCCCGACACTCGCTCCAGCCATACGCTTGCACAGCTCACAGCTTGCTGATACTGTTGAAGCCTCTGTAGGCTTGTGCATGATTTCCCTTTTGTATTTTATATTCCTTCCCCTCTCCATAAATGAAGCTGAAGCTGCAAATGCTGCCGTATGGATGCTGCCAGGTGGGGATTCATTCAGCTTAATGAATATATTCAACAGCTACAATAATACAGCACAGAATAGGAGAAACACACACACAGAAGCATTTCTGTCCCCTGGATGCCACGTGGAGCAGCCACAGGGTGGCCAAGGGGAAGGTGCGATGGCACGGGACAGGCTGCTGAGAACCAATCTCCTGCCCTTCGGCTTTTTATGTGGATCAGAGGTGGGCCAGATGCGACAGACCGAAGTGGTGCCCCTAAGACTCCGCAGCAGAGGAGTCTCTGAAGGGAGCCCAAACGCACAGCACTCGTGAAACCGAAAGGCAGCAGGGATGGAAACGTGGGAACACTCCTCCAGCAAAGCCGTGGGCCCGGGTCACGCCACCTGCACCCGCTGCTACCACACAAAACTAACTGAAATATTCCTTTTCAGCGTTCTTGCTGATGTAGTGCGATTCCTAGCGAACGCAACGCCCTTGCTGCCCTTCCCAAAGGCTCACCCGCACCATGCAGGCCACCTCCCAGCTCCGGGGAGGCCTCCTCTCCCCCCGAGAGGTCCAGGGGGGTGCGAGGGACACGGCGGGGGACAGCGGTGCTGCGGGTCTGACCTGCTCTCCAGACACCCCCCAGGAGCCTCCCGCTGCTTCGTGCCTGGAAGACCCAGCCCTAAAAGCTGCAAAAAGCGTCAGGGGCTGATGAAGTTTTAGAGAACATCCCACTGGCTGCCGCGGTGGCTGAAACGCCACATTTCACGTTCCACCACCTTTCACAGGATAAGAATAAGCAGCGTGTGGAGAAGTGAAGACAGGCTCTGTGGCCCCATTCGTCTGTTCATATGGTAACACATGATCCAGCTTTTTTTTTTTTTTTTTTTTTTTTTCCCCCCTTTCTACTTTACTTCACTTAACAACCAGGTCAGGTTTAGCTCAGATAGCTTCACTTGAATACACACCCCCCTCTCCACGGGATTTACTACACTGGAAAACACTGGGAGCCCCTGACGTCCAGCGGACTTCACATTCCCTGGGATGAACACGCTCCCTCAGCTCAGCACACAGAAGTCCCCGGTGAGGACGGGGATGCTCGCGGTCCCCGGGAGGCGGCCTCTGTGCCTCCGCTGGAGAAGCAGCCCCGGGGCGCAAAGCCGGGATTTACCGGCTCCCGTGCGCTTCCACCCGGGGCTCCGGCAA